GCCTCTCTGAATGCTAAATGCTCACCATCCTTCCTCCATTAAACCTCAAATGCTTCTTTCATCCCTGATTTCTTTTAACAAATACAAATTCAACTTTTCTTTTTTCCCAAATGTCAAAACCATACGCAGCTGTATTCCTTCTGTTGAAGAATTTCATTTTCAATATCATGTTTGAAAGCAACTGCAATCCAGCAGAATCTGTCACAGCGCTGAATCTAAGCTAACTCAGAGGTCACAGCATTATTAAGTACCAAAGAAGCATTTTTTTTTAATCTGAGGCAAAGTGGTTGTGTGGATTGACAAAACAGAACTTGGTCAAATCCAACATTATGATTCATTTTTGCTGGCTGCGTGTCCCTTGGCAAAGAGATTCGAGCACTCTACTGAGCATTGTGTGCAACAGAACAAAACAAAACAGGACCATAGGAAATTCACTGCTTTGTAAAAGGAAATGACAAGCATTATTACATTGCAGAGATCCTAAAACTGAATGTATGCAAACAGACATAGGAATAGTCCTCTCTAGGACGAGGATGCTTTTAGTTTTGTATGCATTGAATTCTTTCTTGCCATTTTTAAATGTGACAATGCACAATCCCACAACTCACAAGATAGGCAGCCAAGTTTTGCTGAAGCATCCTGTTCACAATGTAATGACTTACAAAATTTAACCAAACTGTTTGGATTCTCCAGCATCTGCAGTTCCTACTATCTCTGTTTGGTGTTCCCGGTTTTGTTTTTTTATTGTTTCATTATAGCTCAACTGATACTTAAGCAGATCGTAGCTCGCTCATCCTACGGCTCATTTTTATTGGTTCTGGAAGGCTTGGGTTGGCAGCCTGGCTATTGAACTCTGGGGGCATCACAGCTGCATGTACCCTGTCCTCAGTAAGTATCTAAATACATAAGCAGGAGACAGTGGATAGGAATGGGAATCCTGCTGCCTCCCAGCTAAATGCTCATCTCTCCAGTCTCCAGCTTTTTCAATGATCCTGTGCCTTTGGTGCTTCTTCAATTGAAATCAGCAAAATTAACGAAAGCAATGATCAAATCTGGGAGCTTTTTGGCTTATATACCATGTTATGACAGCACAGGTAAGCAGCGAGTCATTACAAGGGTTGAAATACATCTGTAAATTAATTCCTGTTTGTCTAGGCTACTCACAAGTGCTTGCAATAATCACAGAAAGAGACACAACATCCTGTATATAATTAATATACTGGAAAAACACTTCTCTTGAAGGAAGGGTCCTTCAAACGTTTATCAATGCCCACCTTTGGAAATATTTTACGAAGCCCATCAACGCTACACACAGTCAGAGGAATTATTGACAATGTTAGTAGATACACAAGGATCTGATTTCTCTGTCAACAAATCAGTTTTAATCAACATCAAACAATACTGTAATGCTAGCTGTTGGCAAACAATGTCACAATGAAGCAGCGCACCTCTTGATGTATTATAGATGAAGTGAGTCAAGGAGCATTCAGTTACAGTACAGAGTCTACAGTCTCTTCAAACTGAGTATACCATGGAGAAGCACTTGCATGGAGCAAACTTCAAAGCATTGGTAAATAACTGTCAACTAACTGTCAATGCTTTTTTACTTAAAACTTTGTTTCTGATCACCTCCAATAAATTCAAGCTTCTTAGGATATTCCTTGGCTGTTGCCCTCTGCCCTGGAAACGCTTGTACGATTCACATGAGACTAAGAGTAGTTGATTAGTCCATTCCATGTCATGAGAGGATCCCCATGGATCTGCGGCCTGGACCATTTTCACCTTCGCTCCTTGTTTTAATTTATCTGCACTGACTCCCACCTGAGGCAGCAGGGATGATGCAAGAATCAGAAACTGGGCCGGCTCTTTTCCGCTGAGGTGCCTTCCAATGGCTGATGACATTCTCTCACTTGATCGCTGGTGAGTTATGGCCCGATTTTACCTTCAAAATCCAGCTGTACGTGTGGTCCTCACTTAAACGCGGCCCTGGAGTTTAAACATTATTCCCCCCAACCCTGAGCATTGCTGTTTAGGTCCTGTTTCTGCAGCTCAGTCTGGGATTTGTGGTTTTACGTCAGGCTTTCTGCATCATCCTACATCCGATGTTCAGGATCCAACTGGCAACGGATCTTAACTGGATTAAGACGTACGAGTGAAAATGGTCCAGGCAAAGGAATCCATGGGGATATCCCACCAGCCTTATATGGGCTCATCAGCCACTTTTAGTACACTATGCATTGCACAAGCATTTCTAGGATAGAGGGGAAAAGCCAGGGAATATTATTTACATATGTATGCAAATAATTTTACCCTAATGGTAATGATTGAATTGATTAAGGGCTGCACTCTTGGAAACACATTAGATACTGCTGTGTCCTCAATCCTGGGTTAAATGTTTCAAATAAGCATGAATGTATGTAGCCTTTCTACTATAGTTAGTGCTTTATGTTATTTTCAAGTCATTTCAACTAGGAAGGTACAGTAGGGCACGTGGACCATACAAAATTTCAATCTGTACATTTTTTTTTCTGTGTAACAATTTGTTTAGAGGATCTCAACCCTGGCTTTAACGTTGGCTCGGATTTTCCCCTTTGTGGGAGATATAGGAGGGAACATCAAGTCTCACGAAGATATGATAGACTCCTGCCAGCTGAGAATGAGGACCCTGGAGCCGAATCTTGTTATGCACCACCTTGCCCCCAAACCCTCACACCGAACCCACTCCTTACGTGCCTGCCCCCCCACCCGAGTCCTGTCCCATCCCCAGCCTCCCCCGATGTCAGACGCCAGTAAGTCCAGAATTTGGCAGCACCACGGTGGACACCATGTCTAGTGGCGAGGCAGTCCCGCCAACCCACCCTGGAAGACAGCATCATTCATGGGAACAATGTCTTCTAAGTTGGGGGTGGGGAGGGGGTGGTTGGGTTTTGGGTGGTTCTGGAGGAAGGGGATGTGGGTGGGGAGCATGGTTCTCAGTGGCCATTTCTATCATAGAGTCACAGAGTCTTACAGCATGGAAATAGACCCTTCGGAACAACCAGTCCATGTCAATCATAATCCCAAACTAAACTCATCCCACCTGCCTGTGCAAGGCCCATATCCCTCCAAACCTTTTTCATTGCCTTTTAAACATTGCAAACTGTACCTGCATCCACCACTTCCTCTGGCAGTTCATTCCACACACGAACCACCCTCTGTGTTTAAAGAAAAAAGTTGCCCCTCACGTGCTTTTTAAATATTTCTCCCCTCACCTTAAAAATATGCCCCCTAGTTTTGAACTCCACCACCCTAGGGAAAACAGCCTTGTTATTCACCTTATTTATGTCCCTCCTGATTTTGCAAACTAGGTCCAGTGTCTTGGTTCTATACAAGTCCGAGCAGGTCGAGCGAACTCTCCAAAAACGCAATATTCCTGCACGGGGTCATCAGTTGGGCAGCTCCAACCTTCCTCATGGAACAGGAAATAACTGCAGCCCAGGCAGGATGACGCCTTTAAGTCTTCCCATCTAGACCTTAACCCGGGCAAGGTCAGGAAGATGGGAGGGCTTTGGTCTGCGTTCCTAATTAACTTCACTGCCTTATTTTTAATAGGAACGCATAATTCACTCAGAGTCATTTCACTGAAAGGAATGATTGTCAGGAATGGAATCACAATGGTAATCGAGGACTACCTGATTGAGATTCAGGTTGGTAAACAGACTCAAGACATAATCAAACCAAGACAGGTCAGCGACAGGGCTGAATCCCAACAACGCTCAAACCCAGAGAGGGGTGTAGCCGTGTTAAATCCTCCATTATTAAATCCAACAGTTTCTCTCTCCCTGTGTACCATTTACAATGCCCAGCTCAGAGACGTAATGGAGTACTCGCCACTTGCCTGGATGGGTGCAGTACCATATAATACTCAAGGTGGCCAACAACAGTTACAACAACATAACCTGCCTGACAGACAGATCTTCCATCACTCACCATATCACAGGCAGTTTGCGGGCTCCCGCCTATCAGTTACAACACGGAAAGCTTTGAAGGTGCCACCCGAAACCACAAACTCTACTGGCTGCCCAGAAGTAAAAGGGGCAATGAGATACACTAGTCCAATTCACCTTGGATCTTTCAAAATACATCTCCAATGCGACCAATATGTTCATTTTCAAGTACTGCTGTTCCTTCAAAAAAAAAGCCTTTTCTCCCCTCAGTGTGGGACATGGGAAGCATCAGCATAGAAACACTGGCACCTTCACACTGCACACCACGAGGCATTTTGTGGAATTGGAACATCTTGGATATTCTTTCATGGTCCTGGTACTCTCCATTTATCAGCATTGTGCGTGCACCAACTCACTGACTGCTCAGCACCGCCTCCTTCAGGACATTTATCGAGGGGCAGTAAATGCCAGCCGTACCCAGTGTTTCTGGACTGAATTCAAAGATGCTCAAACTCAGGTAAGTCAGCAACTAAGCCATTTCTGATCCAGATTTGCGAATAGATTGACAAAATCTGAATTCTTTTACATCTGGATACATTAGTGACAAAGCGATGTCTGACTGTATTACCTCTGGAAGGTGCAGAATCAGAATCAAATTTGAGCATATTCAGAGTTGGCAGCTAAGCAAATCAAGTATTCATCATGGGGGCAATTGTTAGCAGAGCTCACTTTGAAGCAGAACAGTCCACATTACTGAGAATGCTTAAAGATTTATGAAGTCGATTTAAATTCAGAGGCCACTTTGTCAATTCTAGCAAGGATTTTTTTATTTTGAATAAATATTCCAGTCTCCACTTCATCCCTGTGCGCTTACGAATGGCTGATAACAGAATATTTCCCGGCAAGTCAAACACAGTTCAGAAATTCCTCAAAGATACATTTTTAAAACAGGCCAGGTTCATGTGACAACTCTTATCCCTCTCTATCCTTGTCTGCTCTGATTGATGGCTAAACATACAATGTGTCCAGCTCCTTCCAGTTTGGACTCCCTGCTCAAATTCAGACCACACTCACCCGTCTCGATCTTGGATGTTTCTGTGCGGTCACTGATGGTGACTCTTTCCAAACTGATCAGGTAGTCGACAATCTTCACCCCGATGGTGGGCTCCGTGTGGTGCCATTCCAAAGCCACCAAGGAGCTACTGGGCTCATGTGCCGGTGACAATCTCAAACTAGAAAAGGAACATTTAAAAAAGAATAATCCATCTCAATATTAATCAGCGACTACACAAAAATGTCAACGAATAACTGGAGAATATCACATGGAATGAAGGGTATTGTACACTCAACTGCTCCAATGTAGAATTAGACATATTGTAATAACAGCTTATAGTCCTTACTGAGATTAAAATGTCTTGAGCAGCGACCACATTGAGTATATGTAAACGCTAAGGGCATATGAAAGTAAGGAGCAGGGGTATGCTATCAGGGAATCACAGTGTGGAAACAGGCCATTCAGCCCATCGAGTCCACTCAACCCTCCAAAGAGCATCCCACCCAGTCCCACCCTATTATGCTATCCCTGTAACCCTGTGTTTCCCACGGCTAATTCACCTAGCCTGCACATCGCTGGACACTGTGGAGAATTTAACATGGCCAATCCACCCTGGCCTGCGCATCTTTGGACCTTGGGAGGAAACTGGAACACCCAGAAGAAACACATGCAGACACAGGGAGAATATGCAAACTCCACACAGACAGTCACCCGAGGGTGGAATTGAACCCACGTCCCCAGCGGTGTGAGACAGCAGTGCTAACCACTGAGCTACCGTGCCACCTTATGGACTGATTGAAGAATTTGAGATATTTAAGGTACTGAGTCCCACACTAGAGATTTGGGGGAAGAACTTCCATTAAGGGGTCAGGATCACATCCAAGTGGGTGCTGGTATCAGCCATCGCCCACTTTACGAAAGTGAAGAAAACGAATGGCCGTAGCTGCCAGACCACCACTGTGGAAGAGAGGCCTGGGGCTCAGTGATCAACTCCCATCCTCATATCCTGATTGCGCTCTCAATGCAGCTTAGTGATGCTTTGTAAGTGACTTTTGATTTGAATTGACAAGGTACATGCTGACAGTGGATGGGTAGCAAATCCATGCCCACTGTGCCAGGGAGCTGCCATGCCTGCTGACCTCCATTCCCACTTCCAGGAGGTCAGCACCAGAATCTTGCCTTGGGACCTGAAAGCACAATTACCAAGGGTTGGGTGAAGGGAAAAAGAGGAGTGCAAGAGGACAGAATTGAAGGAATGGTCCAGTTTGGAACAGAGACTAGAATGGGTGGGACCTTGAAAGGACTTAGCTGTAATGATAAGAATGCTAAATTTGAGACAATATGAGACTGCAGGTAGCAGAGAGGTACAGTTGGTTATTGTGTGCTAGAACAGGCTGTCCCCAAGATTGTGGTTTTAAGCAACAACATGCAGTTGAAGAGGAGGAATCTCCAGGAGAGATCCTTGAGAAGCTCCTGAAGTAATGGTGCAAGGCTGAGGAGGGAGACCATCACTAGAATGCAATCTGATAGCTAAGCGTGTAACCAAGCCAGTGCAATCTGTGGAGCTGGACAAGAGACAGAGATACAATGTGATTGGCTGTGTCGCAAGCCGCCTGAGGGTGGAAAATGTATCATCGTCACTGCCACAAAGGATGACATTTGCTACTTTTGGGCCAGACATTTTAGTGCTGTGTCAAGGGTCCAAAACCTAAATGAACTTCAGCAATAACTGCTCTTAGAAGCACTCAAGTGTGGGATTTTACCTAATTGTTCTGTACCCATCATACATGAACCAGGCCTCACACGAGGGAGAAGAACCTTGCCTAGAGTTGTGCAATTGAGCTATGGGTTCCTATTTAAATAAACACAACACAAGGGTCGAGGCCCGAAACGTCAGCTTTCCTGCTCCTCTGATGCTGCTTGGCCTGCTGTGTTCATCCAGCTCTATACCTTGTTATCTCAGATTCTCCAGCATCTGCAGTTACTACTATCCCTATCCATAAAAATGTGCCACACACACTCTTTCAGTGCAATATCCCTGTGTTTCCTGAAGAGCCGTACAGCATATACCCACTCAATGATTTGGTATTTAATACATATCTTATAAAATATCTCACATTCACCACCAGCAATGTTCTATCTTATCACTGGAACTTTGCAGAACCTATTTCTGAAGTTTATTGTGTCATTAATGCATATTCACTGAAACCTTAACGTTACTACTCAACAAAATGTAGAAGTATTCACGTTACTGTTACAGAGTGAGGACTGTCGAAATCATGATGCACATCCCAACTGTTTGCAATCAGTATGCTCTGAATTAAAGATAGTTCATGTCTTAACCCTCAATTTTGTGAATAATTTGATTTAAAAAAAGCAAGCTTTTCATGAGTTTAAATGAAGATGATTGTTTACTTATGCACTCACCCCAAAATCTAGCAATACTACGTTCGGCCAGTCATATATGAAAACACACTTTAAAAAAAAACAGTAGATTACACAAAACAAATTATCTGGCATTCAGCAGTCATCTATGGAGAAGCATACAACTCATTCAGAAGAAGCAACATATCTGCAATAAATAAACTTTGTAATTTGAAAGTTAGGTATAGGCATAGCAATTATTAATCAAGAACAATTTAGAGAATGCATTCCTATTATTCTCAATGTTGGCCTGTAATACATACTAAAAGTTGTAACATTTCCATCTCCATGTCGTTGCTCCATCTATACCAATTCTGGCTGCTGACGACCTTCCCTCTCCCACCATTTCCATTAGTTTTTTTTCCTAATATAGTATGGAAAAACTGGTTAAATTAGCTGTGGGGAAATAAAACATGACTAATAGTCAATATGGGAAGACAGCAGCATTTGGGAAATGCTCACTGTCACATTGGAAATTCAAAGGTAAGGATAACTGGGACAGGAAAACTGTAAACTGCAGTGAAAGCAGAAAACAGTAAGCCGAAACAAAAAGCTGGCATAAGCCAATGGATCAGCAATTGGGAATCATCAGAGAAGAGCTGGATCAAATTCACTCTCACAATGCAGACAATAGAGTGTACCGAGGGATAGTTTTAGTAATATAATAGACCGAAACTGAACTGAAGCTTAAGTGAGAGACATATGACAAGATGAAGGCTGATACTAAAGACTATGATGAGGCATAAAGTGTAGTAGGGGATGGGGATAAAAAGAGGGGTTAAAAGGGTAATTGGGAATTCAACAAGTCTGACAGATAGCATAAAAGGCCTCTTATGGGCATCTTAAATGTAACAGATTAATGAGAGACTTTGGGTAAAAAGAGAGAAAACTCAGTATGAAGGTATTAAGTACTTTGTATTGGTGTTTATAAATAGCAATCAAAATAAAAATGTAGGGGTTCAAGGTGAAGGCACTGAAAAAAAATTATTATGCACGACTGAGCTGAACCTGAAGTGGTTAAGACACCGAATCCAGATGCCGCATACCACAGGTTACTGAAGGAACAAGGAAAACGGGAAGTATTTCATCAGGATTTTGATGCAACAAATGTGGAGAGTACCAGGATCAGCCATGTAGCACCTCCACTGAAAAAGGGAGGGTAAGGTAAATCAGTTACTGACAAGCCAATTCATCAGTTTGGGCACTTTCATACAATCAAGAAACGGATGTTAGTAAGTGACTGTTTGGAGACTAATTAAAGCAGACACATGTTTGACAAAACAATTGTGTTTTATTGAAAAATTAACCATCTGAACATAAAGGAGACAATGGATGTATTTAGATTTTCTGCTTGTGGTGCACAATGAGTCTCATGAAAGGACTTTTAACCAGACACACGGCATGAGAGCAATCTCTTGAGCTGTTTGCATTGAGAACAAAACACATGCAAGAATTGCCAAAGCAAGTGCGTAGGCTTCAGCAGACTTTGAGCTCAGTTGATGAATAAAAGACAAGTGAGCCTTCCCATCAAGCTTCAAGTCTTTAGAGAAATATGCTTGCCCACTCTGCTCTCTGCATGCAAGACTCAGACTGTGACCCAGCATCATGCCAAGAAGCTCAAACACTTTCACTTGAGCTGTCTTTGAAAGCTTTTGAGGATCAGATGAAGATTAAAAAAAAAAGCAGGCTCTGAAGCGTTCATCTGAGCTAACTTGCCAGGTGTCTACATTATAGAGAACCAGTCAAAACCGGTTAAGACCAGTGATGCAGCCAGAATGCCCAATACTCAATCACCAAAACTAACTTACTTTGGACAACTTGATTCTGCGGTGTGGTGCCACAGTGATTAAATGAACTACACAGACACTCTGAAAGCTTCACTCAGGAGTTTTGATATTGATTTAAGAGTCCTGGGAAAAGCTCCACCTGGAGGGAGGAAGCAAACTAAAAATGGTGTGGTCACCTTTGAAAGCAAACGCATACAGGCTGAGAGAGGAAATCCTGAGCCATGGAACTCAGTCATAATTCAGGTGCCTGTAGCTCGTCCACTCCCATTGGCTTTCTTTCTCTTCTTTTCACTTTTGCCCTTTTTCTTTCTTTTTTTCTTCACTTTCTTTTCTTTTAAGCATGGGGAGCGGAGGGTGAAGGAGGTGGTCTCTGGTAGCAGCAACATCAAGATGAGCTGGATACAGCTCCATCCCAGTCTGGGGTTTCCCAGCGAGCGAGGGGCAGGTGCTGGGCTGACTCCCCTGTCCCAGGCTAGGCCGAGGCTCCAGGTCAACAGCTAGGCCCGGGTGCCCGAAGGAGGAGAAGTGGCGGTCTCTAGGTGTGGCCAGGTCTTGACCTGGCATGGAGGGTCTTTTCCGTCTTTGGCGTCCAGGTATTTCAACAGCCCAGCAGGTGGTCTTGTCTGGGAGTGGCAGTCTCGGCCCATCATGGTGGTCTTCTTCAGTGAGGCTTTAGGCCTGGTATCCAGCGGCTCTGTGAGGTGGTCTCATCCCAACTGCATCTTCAGTTTCCATCATTCCTTAAATCAGCTTTCCCCGAGCCCAGGAGCCTTTAACTGAACTGTGATGAACTTTGTCTTAATTTTACTTATTTTTACTGCTGTATATGACTTCTGTCATTGATGTTGGCACCGTGGTGGGCGACCTACAAAACATTTCACTCTATTTTTCATGCAAAAGTACACATGACAACAAATTTCTATTCTATTCACAGCAGGACATTCCATATGGATCTCAGGAAGCCCCT